TGTTCCTAGCAGCGTTTTCCTTCATTTCTGCATTTACGTGTGGACAGGATTATTTTTTTTTAAACGAAAATGGAAAATCTCCGTTTTCAAAAATACCCGTGTACGTGTGTAAGTAGCCTAAATGCTGCTGAGACTGTGCTGTGAGACACAGGAAACCTTTTGGCAATGCCACATATTGATGTGCCATCCTGGAGGAGGTGGACTACCTTTGGAACCTCTGCCAGGTCCAGGTATCTCCTCATACTATCATTAGTAATATTCACCCAGAAAATGTGGAGGAAAATGTCAGTGGTCTGTAAATACATTCCTGTGTTAGTTGTCTCATAGTTGCCCCTCCAATGCACCTGTTGTTAATTTCATAAACTCCAAAGCAGCTGAAGCAGATTAACAGCCCCTCTGATATTTAACTGAACAGATAAATATCCCAAATCAAAAAGCTTTCAGGAATCATATGTTAAGATGTTAAACAAATCCACAACCATCCAACCATTTGCTGTTTACTGAATACTGCATAGTAAACTTTGAGTACCCTTATAGTGGATATACTCTACAGTATTGCGCTGTGAAACACAAAAATGAGAAACTGTGGACGAGAAAGTTCAAAGAGATCAAAAACACTGCAAAGCACAGGAGCATAAAGAAAGAGTCGAGGATTGATTGGCGACGATTTCTTGCATCTGGGCGAAGACAGAAATAAAAGCAAAAAAATGTAGGCTATAATCATGTTAGTCTCCCCCCACTCCTCCACAATGGTCCAATCCCTCCATTTTAGCTCCCTCCATCTTCTGAGTGGTCATCTGTTGATTACACGTTATATTTAACTCTGCTGTCTCACTCTTTCCCTGCCTTACTCAGGTCCCAGTGTGCACAGCCGCAGCATTCAAGCATACATACATAAATAACATACATACATAAAAAATTTAATCAAATAAATAAATCACTCGGCCCAGCGGCCCTTTCTAATCAAGTGACATCAATCAGGGAGAACTATGGGTAAAGAGGCCTTGCGGCTGACGCCTACTGAGTGCGCCCAGATCACTGGAGTAGCGTCTATTTGAGTCCAAGGGGGGAAATATACGCTCCATGTCCCATTATATGAGAAGGGCTATCCTTTCGTCAGTGCGCCCATTACTCCCCCTATCATTTCCCCAAATCTAAAACCTGTTTTCAATCAACACAGCCAAACGAGTGCCTGTCCAAGAGAGGGGGAGAGAGAGAGCAAAAAGACAGAGAGAGCAAGGGAGAGAAAGCAGTAGAGATGGACAGTGAGGGTAGGGGTAGAGGCAGAGCGATGGAGGGCTCTCTCCTTCTTTCTTCTAGTGATTGGAGCGTTTTGCATTCTGTATGTGTGTGTGATTGAATCCGACTCCTAAATTAGGGCTGTCGAGTCGAGGAGCTGAATGTCCTTAACCCCCCTTCCCATATCCAATGCCCAGGCTCCGCTACTTTTGTGTGTGTGTGTGTGTGCGAGCGCACATGTGTGTGTGTCACATCACTGGTGAATATTTTAAGTGCAGCCTGGGTAAAAGGTTTATGTTAAGACATTGATTGCTAATGCTATGTTGTACATGTATTTGTGAGGAAGCTTTGTTAGGACATTAAAATTCAAAGTTCAGCAGAGGCTCTACTAACTTGATTTCACTTTCAATGGCTGTATAGCAGAGAAGGAAGAAAAATGAATAAAATATGACTAAATTTACAAAAGCAGAGCCAGTTTCAAAACAAACATAAAGCAAAACTTTGGAGGACAACTCGCCCCGAAACTTACTTATTCTTTATCACAAAGAAATCAAAATACATCAGTCAATATTGGTTGATGTATTAATTTGGCCTTAATTTTTCATTTGGCCCGTAGTGGGGTTCAATCATCAACTGTAGATTGTTTTGGTGTAAAAGCTGGCCCGTTTGGGACAGATCAGCCTTCTTTTGAATATAATAGAAGTGGATGGAACTTACCTTACTCACAAAAAACAAAAGTCCAAGCATCATATCGTGAGCATTTTCTTTCTGTCTACATTCAACATCTGTGTCACTGAAGATTAAAACATCTGTACACCCATTATAAAAGGTTTAGCACTTTTAACACTGTAACAGGACGTAAACATTAATGCCATTCCCCCTCAGCTGGTGGATGTAAACAGTATAAAGACAATAGTTTCTGCATGAATGTGTTCACAACAAGGTTTCTGCATCATGTAACTAGTTATATTCTAGTAAAGGCAGACATTTCTACACAAGAGGTCTCTAAAACTGTGCAGCTCAAACGAAAACCACCTACAGGCCACGTGAAAAACAATGAATTCGATTTATTGCAACAAGTATGCTGGGTGTGTGTTATCTTACTTTTTTCGTCATTATTTAGTACTTTTGTGATTGCGTATTCCCAGTCAAAGATGAACCTGTAGAAGCACAGCTGGTTGTATAGGGCCTTCTCCGAGTACTGCAGAGAGAACACAGACACACACAAAAAGAGTTACTTCATCAAGAAAACCCCCACCCCATATGGATTAAGGCAAAAGTGTTTTTTGGAGGCGGATGAGGAGCCTCGTGTATATTTTTCTTGCATGTGTGGAATATCCCTGTCACTACTAGTCTTATCCAGCCACCTCACCAACAACACTACTGCTCCATTTCTGCATTAATAAGTGATTAATCACCATTATTCACTCCGCCGAGAACGGAGTCAAGATCATGACAGGAGGGGAAAAAACCCATCAACAACAGAATAATAAAAGTGGTTTACCAGTTTGAAAAACAGGCACATTAAACATAATTCTAAGAGGGCGCACCTAGCTCAAATGACTATACTTCCCTGAAAACATCTCCCTTCCTCTGTGTGACACAGTAAAGCGAGAAAACAAATTTGCTTGCTTTGTTAATCTCCACTGCAATTAAATGGAGCCACACGACAGCCTGCCAGAGGGAGAGAGGGGAAAGAGACGGAGAGGATGAGCAAGACAGCGGTGGGAGGGAGGGAGGGAGGGGAGAGAAAAAAGAAGAAAAACAGAGCAAAAGAAAGCAAGACTCGGAAAGAAGTGAGAGATGGTGAGAGAGAACGAAAAGAGGGGATCAGGCCTGAAATACCCTCCCTCATAATAGTTTGTTGTGATAAGCCATTGTGAGAGAGGCATGTGAACAGCCGAGGCTGTCAATTTGATTAGCCATTATACTGCATGTTTAATTGCAGTTATTGGCTCGTCATTTCCCTGCTACGCTGCAGAGGGCACGCTAAGCCCCGACCCCACACTGCCATCAGGTGTGCGCCGAGTGCTTTATTATTACCACCAGGAAGAATCCCCCGACAATCCCTGTGTGTCAGTATCCGTGTGTCTCTGTGTGTGTGTGTGAGTGAAGCGAGTATGTGTGCGCCCATTATACCTGCCAATCGGGAATGTGCGTAATTGTAATTTCAGTTTTTACTGCTGTGGCATAATCAAGTGGCAAGAGTATCTAATGCAGCTATACGCAAACTGTGATGTGTGAAAGCGAGTGTGTGTTTAATGGCTTTCTATGGCTTGCCCACATGGCACGCACAGCTGTTGACCGCTGATGCACTTGCCTAGTCAACAACCAAACCATGCGCATCCCATAATGGAGCCTCGGTTACGGTTGCCAAGGTTGAACAAGCTCGGTCGGCACAAACACAGCGCGTCGCTTCTTCCTCTTAGGGAAAGAAAAAAAAATGCACACACACACACACACACACACACATCTCACATCTGAACAATATAATGCTGATTGTGGGCGGGCCAGTCGTGCCGTACTGACTGACTGACAGGTGTCAGAAAGGCGTGGCTAAAATGTTACAGGATTGTTATTGAATTTAGAACCCCTCAACCCCACCTCACTCTCTCCCACACTCACCTACCTCGTCATTCAGCTCGGCGCTTTGTTCCTGCACTGACACCATTTCAATTTGCTCCACAAATCTGCAGCATTTTCAGCCTGACTGCCTAAGGAGCAAACCAGCTGTGAAATTGCCTCTCTCCCGGGAGTGTTGGACCCCCCAGCCCCCACCTCGTACCCCTTGCTCCTTTGCCTCCCTCATCCCTGACTGACTACCCCCCCCCCC